GCAGGAAGAAAGGGAAGACTTAAAGACGTTTATGTGAAGAGTTGTCTGGTGTCACATCTAACACCAGAAGGATAATACAGGAATACTACTCTTGAGCAGACTGATGCAATCTGATGTCTTAGGGCTTTTTAACTCAGCTAGAAGAGAAGTCAATACCAATGGGCAAGTGATTTTTTTTACCACAGTTGTCACTAAATTGACACAAAGAAGAAAGTTGTGAAGAACAGATATTTTTGTGGGTTTGATGTCTCATAAATAGGTATGGACTATTACTGTGTGTTCCCACCAAATTACTGAAAGATACAATCCATGGTCTTTTTCTGGTAGACACTGGCAGAGGTGGAATTTGTTGCCAGACTTCAGGGTTGTCTTTCATAACGCAGAACATGAAATTTTTTCAAGGGTTTTTCCTAACCTGTCTTTACAAGGAAGGAATGAAAATGGAAAGAAGAAGAGAAAAAGGAAAAGACAAACTACTGCTAATTTTAAAGATAATAAATCAAACAGCTCTAGCAGTGAAAGGAATCAAGTTGTATTCAGTCTTACTGCTGGAACAGAGACAGACTGTTCTTGTTGAGGCAAAAGAAATTTTCATCTTCCTGCCTTTAAGAGCAAGAGGATGGAGCTACCCAGCAGTCCTCAGAGTTAGCAAAGCCTAGTTTGGAAGAACTCTTTTTCTTAGTTTTTGGGGGTTTATATTTTGTTTGTTTGTATGTTTTGGGTTTGAAAACACATTCTGTATACTTACTCTCTTATGGAAACAAAAGCCAGTCTTACTGTTTCAGGAGCCTTCAATATTTCAAAGTCTAGCTCTTCACTTTAACCTACGTATTTTTGTAAGTCTGCGATAATTTCTAATGGTTCATTTAAAATCTGAAAAGTAATTTATTTGTAAACCCTGATTAAAAATCTTATTTATGAGAAAGCCATGAAAGAAAGCTCAGTTTGCATGGTGTATAGCCTAATAGTTATCTTTATGCTATCTTAATATTTTGTGTGTTCAGTATTTTAGCTCAATATTCTGTTTAGAGCCAAATTCCCACTTCTTTGAGTTCTTTTCAATATATAGTAAAATGATTGCTGCAAGTAATATAAAGAGATGGAACAGCTCATGCCACACAGCTCTACCAAAGACACTTCGATGGCTAAGCACTGTCCAAATACTAACATAGTCAGAAGTTGATGGCAAACAGACACCTACCCTTTCTTAGAAAGGAATTAATTTTCAAAAGCAATGCTTACCATGGTCACTGAATAGCAGCTGTTTCCATTTCTGTCTTTCTATTTCTGAAGCTTTAAATCCCAGCACAGATTTCAATTCTTGTAAAACCCTCTTAGATTCCTGTCTCTCTCGTTCTTGTCTCTCTCTTTCTTCCTGGGAAAAGCAGTAAAAATCTTCCCTTCTGTATTCATTCTCCATATCTGAATAATCAACATATGCTTCCAATTCCTAAAGAAAAAAAGAAAGAAATAAAATGTTGATCTTCACTGTCAGTGTAGATCCTGTCCTGCAATCTGATGCATGATCAAGTGATCTCAACTCTAGCCAACCACTGTAATAGGATGGAGTCCAATTTGAGCAGAGCCAGTGGATCTGACACTGCTCTGTCATATTTGTATAATTTTGGAGCAAGTCCACTCATTGAAAGTTAACATTACTGCAGTCACCTGAGATTTAATTTCATACACAAGAATGATCAAATTAATACCTTGAAAATGGGAGTCCATTTCCCCATAATTACAAGTGGAAACAAGCAACACTGACACAGGTTTCTTTTCTTTTTTCCTTTTTTTTTTTTTAAATTTTAATTTACACTATAAACAATTCTTCCTCAGTCAGGCATCTTGGTAGTTTAACTTATGTAAATCCTTATTAAGAGGATGTTGAGAATAGCAAACTCCTCCTCCAATTTTAACTATATTGGCTTACAAGCACGAAGCAGCAGAGCTTCATTTATGTTATAACAGACAGCCAGTAAAGCTAGTCCCAGCTCTCTGATGTGGAAAAAATCTAAAGAATACATGTGGGTTAGGCTTGGGAGAAGGTGAGGGAGGGACAGAGCAGAGCACAGGTGTTCAATCTGCTCTCAGAATGCATCTGCAATTCAGCTCTGGGATGGAGGAGGCCACCCTCTCTTAAAGAAAGCCCAACCATCACTCACAAGTTCCCTCAAACAACACAAAACTGTTCAGTGTCACAGTCTGTTTCAGATATTCAAAGATGTGGAGATTACTCAAACTGAACACAGGCTGGTTTGTTCTGGAGCTTGTCACTGTTGCAGCTGCGACAGTTCATCTAACAGCATGCAAGTAGGACTCTCTGTTCTACACCACCTTTTAGGAATTCATGGTTTTTTCTACATTTTTTCTGTATTACTCTGACTTGTGTTGCTGCTCTCCTTTGTCACATATTTTTAATGATATATATGAGAAGTGAATGCTGGTGCTCTTTTTTCCAGGATGGGGAACACCTCCCCATGGAACAGCAAAAAGAATACACATGATTTTTTTTCTAAGTTCAATTATGGAACGGCACTGGCTTCCTACTTGATCTGTCTTGGCAAGACAAGAAGGTCACTGCACAAGCAACTGAAAAAGGAATGGATACAGCAAACAAGTCCCAATTATTATCTAAATGGTCCTACGTTTTTTTTACCTGCTCTTCAGGGATTGGATCTTTGTTTTCTATGTATATGGCAGGCTGTGTTAAAGGTACTGTAGTACGCTGTAGGGTGTCACAGGAAACGTCAGGTTTGCCTTTAAGGGGAAAAAAGAAAAGGGATTAAAAAAAAAAGAAAAAGAAAACGATTGAGTGTTGAATGATGGTTTTGACTCACTCAGGCAGGGTCCAGGCATTTTCATTAGGAAAAAAGTGGTGATTAGACTGGTTAGAATACATTGAAACCCTGTGCTAGAGAGCAGTTGAATAACTTAGCTATTTTGGTATAAGCTGGGTCTGGTGAAACTCATCTTGAAGCACTTCAAGTAACAAATCTCAAAATTTTTATAGATTTCAAAAAACTGCAGATGGCAGGAAAAACTGGTAAAGCCAGAAAACAGACTAGTGCCAAAGTTTAAAAGAGAAGTAACATAGTAAAATTAGAGGCATATCAGCTTCAAATAATTGGAAAATATTGGAAGAAATAATCAAGCAAAGTTTACAAGAAACTATTTGGAAGGTAGCAAGGAGGTTAAATGACAGTCAATGTGGATTTGCTAAGAAGATATCAAATCACTCCAACCTCATTTTCGAATGCAATAACAGGTTCAGGAGAAATTGCTATTAGATGCTTAGCACAGTCTCTTGGATAAGCAGAGTGTAGTTACCATTTTCAGACAGAACAATATTACGAGTGAGGATTTGTTTCAAGTCTATTACTCTTTAGTATTTCCAATGTGTGAAAAAGTGTTTCAGTCCATTAAGTCTGCTGAGATTGGGATAACCTGCAAGAATACTGAAGGGCACAATTAGAATCAAAAATAATACTGGAAAATCAGAGATACAGTCCAGGAAGAATGGATTTCAGACACAACAGTTTGGTGACAGTGGCTGCAAATTTTTGTGCTTTAGAATAATCAAACGCACAAATATATGACAACTGACTGGGCAGCTCTGCTGAGAAAAATATGTGAGGAGCCTAGTGGTCAACTGTACCCTGCTGCAAGCAAAAAAGCCAAAATACATACTAATACACATAAACAACAGCACTGACTGTTAAGACACATGGAATGACATTTCTACTCTGGCACTGATCAGGCTATGGATGGAACACAGTGCCCAGTCTGAGGCTCCTTCATTCAATAATATCATGGACCAACTTGAGGGAGTCCAGACGAGAGCTGAGGAAATGATCATAGGACTAAGTATATACAGAGTCATGTAGAGAAGACAGAAAGAAACATATTAACTATCTTCAAAAATGTAAGAGCTATAAAGAGAAAATGGATTTCCATTATGGGTGAATCAAAAGTAATAACTTTCTCCTGGAAATGGAGTTAAGTGCTGGAATAGATGCCTGGAAATACTGCAAAATGTCTCTAAAGAGAGGTTTTTTTAGGAACAGGTGAAAAACATTTACTCACAAACACTAATTTACCCTTGAGAAGGGAAATGGGCTAGATGACCTTGCCAAGCCCCACCTATCCCTATTTTCAATTTCTAATAAGTGAATACTTACAGATGATATTCTGAAAGTTGGCTGTTCACATTAATGACAATTTTAGTGGTGTTCAGTTACCTGCTTCTGCAAACAAGCAGTTTGCAAAGTTTGCAGTTTGCAAAACTGCAAAGTATGTAATTCCCCAGTTGCCTGGGCTGAGCTAAAGATTTGACATTCCAGAAGTATCTAAATGCAAAGTTTAAAAGGAAGATGAAGCATGTGGTGAAATTTGAATTGGAAAATTGCCATATTTATTTTATAGGTATCAAGCCCCCTCATCCATTGCATAACTCTGCCTTGTAATAAAAACATTTTAATAATTATAACAGCAACAATAGAAATATGCTCCTGAAGGTATGAAGACAAATTTGGAAGAGTATATGAAAGTTACCGATTAAAAGCTTACTTTCCCAAATCAAAGGAGTAAACCAGCTGCTCTAGTATGTACAGACTGCTGTGTTTCCCACCTACATGGGATGCTGCCATTGCTAAGGATATGCTTCAAGATCATGATTTCACAGTGTTTAACTAGAACTGTTCCTGCTGTAGTTTGTCTCCAGTGGATCAAAAGACTGCAAGATCCATGAGCTTGCAGCAGAGTACTTACTAAGACCTTGCTCTTAAAAATATCTTAAAAAGTTCTAAAGAACTTTTGCAAAGATAGAGACAGTTTAAAAGGAAAAAGTATGGAATTTAAATAGTTTGAAGGATATTATTTCAAAGATCATTAAGACAGCACTGTAACTAGTCATAAAGGGTATTCTGTTCTGTAAAATTAGCAGCAGATTACCATATGCTTAAACTGTCGAGGCCTTAAGTCTAGATGAGTTTTATATGTGATGAAAGAAGGTGAGAGAATAAAGAGAAGATGGCTGAAAGTCTAGAATCAGCTTATGTTGGAAACGTGAAAAGATCTACATGTAGATGAATGATAGATAAGTCTATCATTGCCCAATGAATTTAAATAGAGGTGAATTCTCCTCAAGATGCTAAAGCCCCACTTGCTTTCTTCTATGGCAGGATCAGCAACTAACAGCACTGGTTCTAGAAATACACCAAGTCCTGTAAACAAAGAAGCCAAACAGCATTCATTAAACCATATACTATAATATATACTAGTATCAGCACCCACGAAAGGCTGATGGGAGCATATGAATGTTCAATGAGTTAGACTTCAAGTCTTTGCTTTGACAGAGTTTGACACAATGAACTCTTTAACGTAGCTGAAAGAAACCTGTTTTGACACAGAATGATTTTGGGCATGAAACATGTAGTGCTTACTGAAGGAGACTCATCTGTTTAGACAGAGGACAATTAAAGTGCTCTGAAAATAAATGATAGGCAGTTGGTTGGACTTGATTTCATGCACAGCTTGAAAAGTTCAACTCACAGAAGCTGCTTAGAAATATATCAGGAAAGTCAAATCTAGTCAGATAAAAATAGTTTTCAATGACTAATATAATTTAAAAGTAGCTCCCGTGCAGTAGTTCAGTAAACTTGTTGCAAAATAGAAATTCAACCCAAGCACATTTCCAAGAAAATCACTGGGCAAAAGTGAAAGCAAAGGATTTTTTTATTTCCCACACAATCTCTCCGTTCTAGATCACACATAAGGTTATTTTTGTACTGAACTTTAAAAGGAAGCAAATTATAATAAAAATGCCTGCTGTGAAATTCATACACAAAGTAAAAATAAAACTAAACTAACTAAAAATATCATGGTGTGCAGCCTAGAGAGAACATTTAAGGAAAGGGGAAAAAAAAGGATCAGTGGAACTGCTGGTTGTGGAGGGCACCAATAGAACACAACAGGCTAGCACACGCAAATGTATCAGACTACATCTAATACCCTCATAGGTTGTTTTACACAGCACTGAGAGGGGAGTTGTAAGACTAGACTGTCAGGCAAAGTACACACAAATTTGGTTATACTGTGTCTGGACCTGCATGGAGCCTGCACTAGACCTCCCAGAGCTCCAGTTCTGATGTAAGCATGGACAAGGTCAGCTTGCACGCCTCTAGGCTCACAGCAGTATTCATCCATCTCATGAATATCCCACCCATATACCATTAAGAGCTTAGCTCACTACAAATTTGGATTTCTGCAGGTAACTTGTTAATACCCCAGGTCATAATTTTCCTAATGCAGCTTCCACTACTAGCATTTTTCAGATGCTGGGCCATGCCTTCCTAGGACAGTAAAAAAAAACTCCTGGAAAAAAGAAAGATTAGAAATTATAGGTTCAACTCCATGTCCGAAGAACCTAAGTTTACTTATGTTATTTAAGCTACTTGGGATTCACAAGGAGAACAGCATCTAAGGAGAAGGGCATAGGGAAAACCATTGAGAGATGCTGCTTGGTTTGACTAGCAAGCATACAGAAGATTAGTTCACTCTCTCTGAGAGAGCAGGTAAATGGGTATTACATGCTCAATAGATACTCTACAATTTAAAATGTTCCAGGAAATGTCATTGCCAAGAAAGTTTCATGTCAATGCCACTGTCATTTTAATTAACTATGTAACTTCTCTGCACAGTAAATAAATGAAAATCTCAGGGACTACTCATCACAATCCTACCCCTTCACAGGTGATGCATCGGTCAAAAGCAAAAAGCCACTATTGGTCTACACCTGGAAATGTAACAAACTGAATCCACAGGTCTGTCTCTGGATTAGTTAGACCTGTGTCTAACTAACGTTAACTGTGAATAACATGTTCACATTTTTTGCTGAAACAAAAGCTTCAAGGGCATCGCAGTGAAAAAGTCTGACATATGTATATGGTTTTTTAAAGCGTATGGTGGTAAGATCTTCACCTAAAATTCTGATACGCAGGCTGAATGCTACCTTTGATCCATTTGACCATTCCATCTCCAAAGTGTATCCTATTAGTTGCTAAATTAACCTCTCACATTTACCTTTATTATTTGGGTTTCTTCCACTCATTTTTTCCACCTGAGAAATGGCTTCTTCCCAGCTGCTGTTGCTTGCCTGCATATGAGGCTGAATAAACTTTAGTTTCTGTTCCAGAACCTGATGGGCTTTTGTTGTCAACTCAGGTGTCTCCTTAGTGCTAACAAGTTTTTCAAGTTCATCCTCAAGAATTATTACCCTAGGTGATAAGGAGATGAACAGAAATAAGTGATAATAAATATGACTTGACCATTCCTTCAAGAATTCCATTTAATATCCTGTTATTTTCTTCAAGTTTTAAGAATCCGACTTAGCCAACTCCTCAAAGATGTCCCAAAATTTAAAAAATAAGATCCTTTTCTCCTCATCAAGATACGCTTGCTCACCTGCATTCATTTTAGTAATTCTTATATGTAAGATTTAAGGAGTAGGGCAGCTTCAACTATTTCACTAAGCAATGATGAATCTTTAAAAACATTTACTAGGTAGTTACTATGAGCTGAACTTTCTTATAAAGCATTTGGTATGTTGCAAAATCAATGAAAGGTAAGTATGTTTTCAGATTTTTTCAAGGGATTGACAGAAGTGAGGCTAGATCTTAGTGCACTGCTTAGCTTTGAATTCCCATCAGACACTTAAAGAATAACCAGGAAACAGCATCAGATTCCATATTGAACCAAGGATCTTTGACTCCATGCTATGTGAAGATGTGCCTATGATTGCAATGACTATATGTTATCTGCCTTTTTTGGTTTTAATCTGGTCTGAAGCCTTCTTCCTACCAGCATATTCTCTTAATTCGTGTGTAAACTTACTCATTGAGCAGTGCCTTGAGATGAAGCTGCAAGCTGCGTACTGCTGTCTGAAGACTGTTCAGCTCTCTTGACTTCTGCTTTGTTCTGGTTGGCCATTCGAACCCCGACTGATGCTGGGTTTCAAAGTACCGATAAAACTCATAACTTCGCTTGAGCTCCTCCAAGCAGGCAGCATGTGTATGAGGTAGGCCTTGAGTCACATCAGATAAGATATGATGAGGCAGCCGTTCAGGGGAAACCAAGGGCTTGGGGGATGCATTGGCTGGAGAGAGGAGCAGCACCAGCCTCCGGAAGAATTCTGAACTCTGCCCTACCCAGAGCTGAAAGAGGACCTGCAAAACAGAGGAGGGTTAGCTCTGTGCACCTGCAAACACAGCCAGCCTCCAAAGTAAATGTACAGATACACCATGGGAAAACATTCCTCAGCCAGCAACAGGAACTTTGAAAAACTGTGAAAATCTGCTGAATGTTTCTGAAGGGTACCCTAGACCACATGAGGTTCAGATCTCATGAGCATTAGGTGACTGCTAATTCTTCGATGAAGGATATTATATGCAATTATGCTCAGAGGCCTAAACCCCCATATTTCTCATCAAGCAGCTTTGCTATTTGCTATAATCTCCACACACCTTAAAGCTCATAAAGGACTGTCAAAATTCCAGTGGCAGCTAAGACATTTTTTCCTTTATGATGCCAAGCTATCATTTCTACGATCTACTACGTATTGCACTGCCCCACAGCAAACCTTGAAACACAAGTCTATCTGCACTGTACTTCATCACAAAACATTCCACATTTGAAGAAAGCTGAGCTGATAATTTCTATTCTGCCAAAGTGAGAATGTCACCAATACCACTGAGGAGGGACAGGCTTGTAAGAAATGAACTGATTCACAATGTTATATACGGTACAAAAGAGGTAAGTCCCTCTGAGAGCAAGGGAACCCACAATTTCAACTTCTTGAGAATTTCCACTTCCAATGCAATGCAAAGCCCTGTTTTTTTAGTTTAGAGGAGACTGCTGGCCCAGTAGCCCATGACAGAACAGTAGTATCTTATATCTCCAAAGTGAAAAGGAAAGGTTATGACACTTTTCCCTGCAATACTGGCCCTTATTAAAAGGGATCAACTGTAGGTGACTATGAGATGTACTCTGAAATCTGTTCTCAAGCATTGCAGACCAAGGAAGACAAAGTAATTATTCATCATGCTTTTTTCCAACCCCCTTCAGCCACAGAACAGGACTAACAATTTACTTCTTCTGAGACTTTGGGTCTACATGATTTGAAACACTATATTTACATTTTTGTACTCATACTACTGTGGACAACTAGCAGTTTTCTCCAGTGTGCAAACAAATCAAGAGCAAAAAATTCAGAATAGTAATATAAAAAATTAAATGCCTTCAGACAGATGTGGTTTGATGTACCACAAGGGTACACCCAAAACACTTGGATGCAAACTAAAAAAAAAAAAATCCAAAAGAAAAAAGGTAATTCTTAATTTACAAAAGATGGTTATGAGAAGAAAGAACACTGAATGATATGAAATTAATTTGGGGCACACAAGCAAGACTGTGATTTGGCTGGCTGCTAAACTAAAAAGCAAACAAATGGGCAGCAGTCACCCATGTATCCCTGAACTTGTGGTGGACTGGGTAGAAAGTCAAGAGCCCATGCTATAATAAGCACAAAAGAAGACCAATCTTTCCACTAGACATAAGGCAAAAGCAGTGAAAAGGAGCACACAAAGGTAGCGGACTTCAGGAATTTATAACAATAATTCAAAACCTACCTGAAAAAAAGCACAATAATGAGAGAAAAGGAAATTCTAGATGTGTTTAGGGTTGCAAATAGCTTGCTCTTCCAATGATTTCTGATGTTTTTTACTCACACTTCACCCAAAACATCCAACTGTCTCTCCTCAGCTTGAATTGGTATTTTTTTCTTAAGCTAAACATTTCCGCTCTTTAAACTGATTTAGTTCAAACAAAAAGTTGCCAAAAGACACAGGCTACATTTGTCATATGGTCTAGACTTGGGCTTAAATGAAAATTGAAATATTAGCTAAATCTGGATACACGTCCATGTTCTATCTGCATTTTAACATAAATACAAGTTCTCCCAAATGAAAAGAACCTGAAGATAACTGTACAGAAATCTAGGACTCACAACACAAATACGTCCCAAGGTTATTGAAGTGTATCAACTTTATTATCTATGCAGGAATCTGCTTAAGACTGATTTATGTTAATTTAGCTTAGTTCAGCTACAGCACACACAGCCATCACCGTCTGTTATGAGTTAATGTAAACTGAGATTTACTAGTTGTGGGCTTGACTGTACTCAGAAAGCATCCCAACCAGCTGTGCCAGGCCATCTGATCCACAGAAGTATA